GCGATCCCACCCGGCCTCCGATTCCTCAAAAAGACGGCCCCGCAATTCGCCTGGACGCAGTGGACGGTTGCACAGAACGACGTTCGTCACCGTCAGCTGGCGCAGTCCCGGCCTCCCGAGCCACACGCACACGCGGCAGCAGCACGCCCCGTCCGCGGAGGACAACGAACGACAAACGACGTTACAAACGACTCCCACAAAAAACAAAAACAAAAAACAGTGAGAATAATTGAAAAAAAGAAAAAAGAAAAAAAAAGGAGAACGCGGCAGAGCGCGGCTGCGGTGTGGACCGCTGCGAGCTCATGTCCTCCCTGGTCGCAATAAAAACAAAACAAAATTAATCGTCCTCCGTGAAGAGGAATTTATTCCCGGCGGTGTGTGTGTGTGTGTGCGGGAGAAGGCGCACATGCCCCGCACAGAGACCGCACACTTCTCACAGTGCCGCAAACGCCCACACGCCCAACAGAAGCAGCGGCAGCAGCACTTGTTTCGCACCGCCACATCCATCCGCGTGTTTGTCTTCCAGTTGCGCCACTATTTTAGTCTCAATCTCCCTTTCCAAGGGCCTCCGCTCCGTGGCCACGGCCTTGTGAGGAGTCGACGAGAGCGCAGACTCCGGCACGGTTTGGGGTGAAGTGTCGCTCGCATGGTTACTGGAAGTTTCTTGAACTCGAGCAGAACCCCCGCCTTGTGGTTTCGCATCTTCCGGTGCTGGAATGGAAACTTTTCTCATGTGAAGGGCACTAATCTCCGTGCCACCCAACGGGCGGTTGTACAGCAGAACGTTCGTCACCGTCACACGGTTCACATCGCTCGCTGTCCCTTCTGTGACGCCGCCGTCCCCGCCAATGTAGAAGTGTGAGATCGTGCACGGCTTCGTTTCGCACTGCAGTGCCGCTTGTGAGCTCCCCACACGCTGGCCGTCAACGTACACGGAGCCCTGGCTGTCGCCCTCCCGCACGATCGCCACGTGGTATTTTTTATTTAGCTCCCACGTGCTGGTGCGATCGCCTCCATTTCCGCCCTTGCAAAGCACACTCCACTGCCTGTCCTTCGTGTACGACAGACCCAAAAGCACAGTGCTGTCGTTCAGCCTCACGCCCAACAGAGGAATTGGGCTGTTGGCCGCCTCCGGCACCGCGTGGATCGTCACCGTCGCCATAAGAGTGAAGTTGTAGTTCGCAAAGTGGTACCGCTGATTCTGCCCCTGTTTGCTCACCGGCCATTCCGCCCACGAACCACGCCCTTTGAACCTCACGCCCCCATTGCCAGTCCCCTCCGTGCTTGCCAGTTCTCCACTCATTACAGTGGCGTTCACCCCGAGGTACTCGTCCTTCCATTGGCCCTCTGCAAAAGAGCCGGCCAAATACCCAACCAGCCCTTCAGTGGGCACCGCTTTGTTGCAGCCCGCGCCAGGAGAGGCAGCTGCACCAGCCTCCGTTGGAAGGCACAACTGCTTGACACGTGCATCCACTTCCTTCCATGTTTTCACCACCTTCTTTATCTGCTCCAGCTGCTCCGTCAGGTGCGCAAGGTAAAGGCCCTCAGACATCCCCACAACACCACTCACTTCTACTGAACGCAATTCCTGCAAGGAGATCAGGTCCTCACTTGCCCCTAAACAGCAGGGCACTGCCGGCGGCCTGCTTATTTGCGTTGGGTATCGGCCCAACATCCACAATGTGGGCGGCGTCGGTGAGCCAAAGATGGAGTTGATCGCTTACGCTGCCGTTCAAATTCACCGGCAGGGTGACGAGCATCACGTCCCTTTCTTCAATCGTCGCGGTGATGAAGCCACTTTGATCGCCGGATCCCTCACGCTCAAGTGAGTTGCCCCATACGCGTGAAAGCGTCCCGAGCGCCTCCGCCCACGTCTTCCCCATATCGCTCGACTCGTACACCTTGCGGTAGCCCTCCTCACACGCAGTCATCATCAAAAGTCTCCCGCTCCCCCACTCCACGACGGCAGGACCCACGCACTCACCGGTTGTTATCCCCTGCGACACCCTCCAATCATTCTCCGGGTTACTGGAGTACATGATCAGCGAGACCGCCTTGTTCCCCTTCGTCACTGCATTTGCGGGAAATACGAGCGTACCGTTCTTCGTCACAATCCCCGCGCCACCGCCAAGAAAAAAAGCCTGAAACGATTCCTCCAGCGGTGGACTGAGCCCAGACTTAAAGGTGGGAGCCTTCCAACTGATTGTCTTCTTTTCCTGCTGATTCTTTTCAATTTCCCCAACAAGGAGCCAGGGGTACATCCAACTCGTCATTCGAGCATCCTCCGCAGAATTCCTCTCACTCTGGAAAAGAAGGTAGATCTTACTGCCATTCACAACTGGCGTGGGGTTGTAGAACTCCCTCTCCGCCACGTCCTCCGGCATCTTGACGGCACTTCCGGCAACTTGATGGCATCTTGCATCACTGAGGTATCACCGGTGCCGGGGAGTGCCCAGAGCGCACCTGATACAACGGGTTCAACGAGCTTCGCCAGGAGCGCTCTCTTTCTTTTCACATTTTCATCGCTGTTAGCTTGCGCGATGGCGACCACCTCACCATCCACCTCAACAACGGACGGAACGGTGACTAAAGTACCGGGTGACCTCTGAGACGCAGGCTGAGCCACCCCAGACGAGCCTCCTCCTCCTCCTCCTGCTCCTGGGCCCGGACCGACCACGTTCGCCTTGGCAAGCACGGCCCAACTGCTGCTGCATATCAGCGCGAACAGAAGCAGCAGCGCCGCAAAGTAAAACCGGGGCCGCGACATTTTTGGATGGTCGCTGCTCACTCCCTTCCCTCCTTCTGCCGGATCCGCTCAGACCGCGATGGCTGTGTGGGTGGTTGAACTTGACAGCAACAC